TTGAGAAATCTCTCTTAACTAAGTTGATATGAGCACCTTCCTGACAGGAAAGAGGCATTGCTTCCTATTCAATCTTTTAAGAGGTGTTGTTATTTTGAATCAGTCTCCTCAGACATCATTGATTCTTTGCTTGTTTATTTACTGAGACATTCAACAACTATTTGTTGCATGCCTACTATGAGCATGGCCCTGTGTAAAGGACGAGGGATATGATGGTAGGTAAGACAGTTTTGGTCAATTCTTTCATGGTTTCCTGTTGGATTGTAAGACCTAAACTTTTAAGTGCTATCTTGACATTTTTAAGCCTCAGAGAGCCATCCCCTGCTCTCACCAGATATGCTCCCACGCCCAGAGGTAAAGGCTCCTTATGTGGCTAATATCCCTACCAGTGAGACCAGCTGTACCCCACCCTCCTGTTACTACAAAGCCTGCCTCCCCCATGGTTCCTTCTGGGTCATAACCCTTATGTGTACGGTGTCCTCCTCCCCCAGGTGGTGAGTACATGTGACTAATATACTACTGCCAATCTCTGTCCAGTGTTAGGCATCTTGTGCTTAGCCATTTCATATTATTTAGGGGTAGAATCCCTCCTTCACCAGCAGGGTAAATAGGAGGTGATCAGAACATCTGTCTAGAAGGGAAGACAGATAATTAAGAATCAGAACAGGGTGCAATGGAACACTGAACAGCAACAATTAACCCAAAGGAAGTGGCAATTAACCTGAGTTAGCTGGGTGAGGGAGAAGAAGTAGGGAAGAATGTTTTAAACTCAGGAAACAATACCTATGAATATACAGAAGCAAGAAAAAGCTTGGTTCACTTGGATCTGAAATTATTTCAGTATAGCAAAAATGCAGAGTACAAGAGTTAGGATGCTTTCAGCTGCATGTACTCCAAGAGTAGACAAAAATGGGGCCATGGGCCAGGTGCAGTGGTATACACCTGTAGTCCTAGCTATTCAGGAGGCTGAGGCAAGAGGATCACTTGAGCACAGGAGTTCAAGCCCAGCCTGGGCAACATAGCAAAAACCCCATCTCGAAAAAGAAAAAAAATGGGGACATAGAAGCTAGCAAGAGCTCATGTCCTAAAGAGCTTTGTAAGATACTTTAAGTAGTATGGATTATATCCTAAATCCATAAAATGGAAATAATTTAAAGATTTAGGCAGGGGATTGACAAGCACAGATTTGAATGTTTTAAAACATCACTGATCCAGTGTGGGCAAGAGGCTGGAGGAGGAAAAAACTGAATAAATGTTGACTAGTCAGTAGGTGTTGGAAAAATCCAGGGAAGATGTGAAAGTGGCCTAGAAAAGCAATATAGTAAGGATAAGCAGAAGTGAGTAGATCAAAGAGATATTTCAGAGGAGGAGTCAACAGAGTTTGATTGCTTTAAAGGTAAAGAATGAGGGGGAAGAAGTCACGAAAACTGCCAGGTTTCTGGCTTAGGCAACCACGTGGTTATAACAGGCCATCCTCAAAGAGCTAGAGGAAGAGCAAGTGGGTAGGAGGATCGTTCGGTCTGGTGGAGTGCTGAATTTGAGGATATCGGGGTTTCTCCAACTGCAGGTGTCAGTGTAGATACTAGCCTTGGAGCTCTAGGAGGTGGAGCCAAGACAAAGATTCTGAGTTAGGAGCCACCAGCATAGAGTGTATTGGTGTTTTTAGTCACATGTATCGAAGACCAATGAAATAATAAAGCGGATTTATTGGCTGAAAAGTCCAAGGGTAAAGAGTAGTTTAACGGGGCCCCAGTTCTTTTCTCTTCAAATCTGTCAGATCTACCCTCCTTCAAGTAAGAGTTTCATCACCAGAAGGGTTTCCTCATGACCAAGACATGAGACTGAGAACATTTCCACATTCGCAAAACAAAAGTCTCGAGCTACCCTGATGATGCTGATTGTAACGACCACGACCCATTTCTGTAGCCTGGGGAGTGGCACAAGCGAACAGGTTTAGGTTTGAGTTTCCTGAACCAATGCAAGTAGCAGGGAAGATGGTAGACCAGTGGTTCCCAACACTGGCTGCACATTTGCTTCACCTGGTACATATGGTCCCACTCCCAGACACTGTCACAGAAGAATAAAAATAACATGAATAATCATTTATTGTACAGTTAATTCTACAACTTTAAAAATAGGATCATTGGCCTCAATTTACCAATATGGTATCTGAGGTTCAAAAAGATCAAATATTTTGATCTCAAAGCAGCAGGTGAACTCAGGTCTACAGTCTCTGTGCTCTGAACCACTATGTATATCTCCCATGTTCAGAATAAGGCATAGAATAAAAATTCAAAAATTCTACCACCCTTAAATATTTGGTAATTATAGTTTTGCAATAGCCTGTTATTGACTCAATATGTACAAGTAACATCCAATAAAATTCCCAGAGCATCATTCCTCAACTCCAGATAATATCTTGCCATTTATTTATATACCCCATGTTCTAGAAGGGTTAATGTGCTTCTTAAAAAATAACATCTTGGCCGGGCGTGGTGGCTCACGCCTGTAATCCTAGCTCTCTGGGAGGCCGAGGCGGGCGGATTGTTTGAGCTCAGGAGTTCGAGACCAGCCT